AAAATCAATAGAATGCAAAAGGGCCCGGCCGGAGAAGCCGGAGTTTCTGCATGGGAATCTCGGCTGGCAAAACAAAGGGGCAGAGGCTAGAGGATTGTGGATAGTGGATAGTGGATAGAGGCCAGGGAACACTGAGCACTGAACACTGGACAGCGAGCTGGAATTGTAATGGCCAACCGGCTGTCGTCTGTTGCATTGTAACACTGGCCGACCGGCTGGCCGCAAACAAACAAACAAACAAATAAAGAAACAGCAGCAGACAAACAAAAAAACCCGAGGAGTGGAAATAGAAGCGAAACTAGCAACATAAAAAAAGGAAGAAAATCAATAAGGCAGAGGCATGAAGCAACAAACAAACAAGCGCAGCGAAAAACCAGCGAAACAGAGAGAGAGAGAGAGAGAGAGAGCTTGGAATGCATAACAAACTGTGAAATGAAAAGCCAGCAACAAAATTGTGCAAGAAATTATTTGCATATATACAACATAGAAAGCACAGGGGGCGAGAATGGAGGCCCTCTCCCCTCTTGCACTGAAGTGCACATAAAAATCATTTAAAAACAGCAGCCAAGCAGACGGACAGACGGAGGGAAGAAGGCTCTTGCCCAGCTTTTCCAGCTTTCTCCGCTTTTCCCCGCTTTGCCCCGCTTTGCCCCGCATTTCCCACCTTTTCCAGCTGGGCCCAAGGTAAGTCCATGCTGCTGCCGTGATTCAGGGGGAAAAAATTGAGTTCAGCAGAGGGGATGTACACAAAATGGGTCTAAAGTCATAAACTTTTTCCACATAGCAGCTGATGCCAACACGTTTCGGTCACTGGCAGCTCTGGTTTTTTGTTTTTGCCATAGTTGCTGGTTGCTCAGTGATTTTTCCTGGGCCCGTTACTATGGTCTTTTGTTTCCTCCCGGCTAACGAGCCGAATATTGGGTTAAGTAAAATATGTACCAAATGAAAAACAAGGAAAAACTGTGCATGAGTTGGTTCTGAGAAAAATATTTTGGAAACTGAAATAATGAGAAGGTCGGAGGAAATGCAAATGCGAGAAGTAAACTATGCGGATATATTTTTGGTATGGCAAAAAATAACACACAAGTGCAATAACACATTTGCCAATTTTAATTATTTGTATCTTGCTTTTGGAGGACTTCCCCCATCTGGCTGCCAATCAATTTAACTTCGACCCTTTCAGACCCTCCAACTTTGCGTGTCTCAGTGGATGTCTGGATAAGACTTATTCACCCCTCGAACTGCTGCACATCAATCAAGAGCAGTCGACCCGCAGCAATAATTTTGAAATGCCAGGCCCGCGCTTAAAATGTCACACGCCAATCAAAAGCATGTTTGCTTGCATAAATAAACACAAAAGCACAGGGCCGTCGCTTAAGTATGAATAAAATATGAAGCCAAACAAAATATCATTTCTCAACTTTTGGCAACTTTGGCACTTCTTTACCCCTCCGACAATCTCGTCTCAATTTCCGCTGCATATGGGCGCGGGGGGAAAGTGATTTCTTAATTTGCTACACAGAAAAACTTTAACCTACCCACAGCTCAGGAAAAACCCCTTTACTCGCAAGTCCCCCGTTTTTTCTGGGTTAAAGTGGAAAGCAGGAAGGAAAGTTTCCTTGAGTTGGCCCCGGAAAAAAGTCGTACGTGACTTTTGTGGAAAATGATGGATCATGTTCTGGGTGGGTGTAAAAGTGAAACTTGTGCCGCCTTCTAATTAATGTCAGTAGCAGTGGTGGCAGGACGTTATTTGCCCGATGGGTTCATATTTTGCTGCTTAAGCGCCAGATTGCGCATACGCAGCGTGGGGCAATTCAAAAATTGCGTATACGCACTGCGGGCAGCTGTTGCAATTGCTGCCCTGACCACCCAAAAATACATAATCCCCGAAAGAGGAAGAGAGAGAAAGAGAAAGAGAAGGAGAGACAAAGAGAGAGTGAGAGCGTCACGATGACCGAAAATTTAAATAAACCAAAACTCGATGCCGGCAACTACTATTACTACAACTACTACGCACGAGTGTGTGTATGAGTATGTGTGTGTGTGTGTGTGCTGGTCACTTCCGCTGTGAAACGCATGAAATACGAGCCATTTTTACTACTACACATCAGCCACAGAGGCTGCAACATGCGACATGTGTGTATGCGGCAATCGATAAATTTTGTGTGTGCAGCACAGCAGCAGCAGTTGCAGGCACAACAACAATACCCTCAGCACTATAAGCCAGATATGCCAAATATACACATATATATATATACGTATACATATATATACATATATATATACGTAGTGAGTGAGTATGTGCCGGCACAGACAGATTTATAGTTTGTCATGGCGGCAGCGTCCAAAATAGTTGCAGCTTCTCTCCCGCTCACGAGGCATTCTGCAGTTTTCGTTCATAAAATCAATATGCCGGCCATCCCCCACCCGTTTCTCTCACTGCATTAGCCGGCCGGTGTTGGCTTTACATAGGTACTGGGCATATATGCACATATATGCAGAGTCGGAGGAGTATATAGGCACTATGGAAGAGCGCACGCAGGACTGCTAATTGCTTGCATGCGAGACGTAACGAAACGAAAGGAAAGGAAACGAGAGCAAGGAGCAAGATGCCCTGACACAAAAGAAATATAAATAAATGGCATTTGCCCTCAACACAATACAGGGAAAATGTCAAACAATTAAGCGGCAATTAGCAGAAAGCTCGAGAGTGCCAGCAGCAGCGAGCCAGAAGACCATAAGACCAGAGAAGGGGGCGGCTGCTACGTGAAAGCGTTGCTAAACGTGTCTTCAGCTTGTCAAAAAGGGGTTGAATGGAAGGGAACCAGGAACCAGAAGCAGAGCCACGGAAGTTGGCCACTCAAGGCAGCCCAGGTAGTCAGGAAACAGGATTGCATTATGCCTTATTGATGAGCCCAGGCGGGGGACTCTTGGCAAACTAAGAAAAGGACTCCATATGGCGCACTTCTTGCGATATTCATACACTGCATACCTTTGTACTCAAAGAACCCTTCACAGATGAGATTCACTTTTTTACAAAGTCTAATTTAAGTGATTATGAACTTATATTGTTTTTCAAATAAGATATTGTTACTGCTAACCATAAATATTTCGCCGACTTAAAACGAATTATCAGCAAACTTGCATATACATCCAGTAATGATATTTTACGAATATTACTTGTCTAATTTAAAAATCTTGATTATAGCTGTGCCAATTAATTTCAGTGCTTACACTTAACAAATAACCTGATTCAAGCAAACATTTTTTTGGTGTTAATGAAAAGTTGTATTTGGAAAACATTTAAAAACTTAGCTAATTTAATTTAATAACCAAAAACACCATTTAAATTGTAATTAACATTCTGACAACTTATTTTAATTGAGATTAAATAAGAAAAAATTATTTCAATAATTCCAAAAATTATAAAAATACTTCTTATCGCTCATAGTACCCTTTCTAGTACGAAATAACAGCAATATGCTTGTCGAAAATAAACACTCCCAAATAAACCCATTCAATTTCTTGATACAACACACTTATCTGCAGTTAAGCAAATTTGCATGCAATTTTCTCTCACGAGGAAAAGCACTTTTCCACTTCTGAAGGCAAAGGCAACAAACTCGAAAAATAGAGCTAAAAACACGGTTCTTGCAGTTGTTGTTGTTTTCCTCAGATTTTAGCACGTTGTTGCAATTCAATTTATTTTCAATTTACGCGCATGCAAGACGAACAGTTAGGGGGTGGGGAAAATCGGGTTCGGGTGGGCTAACACCTTTCATTAGACACAACATTATCAAGCGCGAGTTTAACGGTTGCATACATGCCGGATTTTTCGTTGTCTTGGCGGCCGGCACACGTTGCACTCACAAACACGGACTCACTTTTGGCCGGCACTGTATATAGGGGGCAAGTACGTATATAAATTTGTGGCACGCACGTTGGCCGCTTCTCTTGTTGCTGCTGCAACGCGAATTGCGAATTGCACTTGCGACACTGACAACCACAACGACAACAACTGGCGACAACAACTGCGACGGCGCGCTCTTCGGTGGTCTTCTTATTTTTTTGTTGCCTTTCTGATAACAGGTCTCTCTCTCTCTATCTCCCTCGCACCTCGCCCTATCTCGCTTGCTCCAGCACTTACTCGCCTGCCAAAGGAAAAGAAGGAGCAGACAACAACCGCACGCGAGCAACGTCGAACAGCAACTGAGTCCTGATTGCGCTGTCCCGCAGGATTTTTGTGCAGATGCAGGTTGGCATAGTGGCCACATCGCCATGTGCACCCCCGCATTCCAATCCCCACCTGCCAGTGGATGCTGGGGATGGTGCGCAGACTCCTCATCCGAAGGGCCATCAACAGGAGCGTAGTAAACTCGTAGTAAATTGGATTCCATTCGGCTTCATTCACAGAGAAGCTCTCGCAGCTCTCACGGCCACATTTAGTTGATCACTACATGCTAATGGGTTTTAAGTGTCGACAGCAGGGCAACTATATGACAGTTATTCAAAAAATTATAAAATTATTAATTGCACATTTTAACTGATTATTATTTCCCTTTATTTTTGGAATGGTTTTTAAAACCAAGTCCTATAAATTGTTCAAGACAATATTTAAATTATGAGATAAGGTTTACTTTAACACACATTAAGTTTAGCACCAATTCTTAAAGTGTATTTTCACTTGCTTTAGCTTCCTTTTTTAAAACATATTTACATAAAAATAAAATTTTTCCTTGGCGCTATATTTTTTATCGATTACAAGACAACCATGCCCGACCGCAAAGAAATCGCTGTGTGAACCCTAAACTAGGGTTATACCAAAGTTAAAGTAACCGTAGTAATCGTTAAAACAAAATTAAATAGGGTAGTAAAATGAGATGAATTGTTCTTAAATATTTTCCAACACATGTCAATAGTTACCTGTCAAGTCCTTGTCAAAAATTCTTTTCATTCAATCGTCAGCGTGGAGAAAAAAGGTTCCCAGAACAGTTATTACATTTACAAAAAAAAAAAAGGTTTTCTACTCTTTTTACAAAACAATATTAATACAAACTAATTCCAAGCCAAACGTCGCGTTAGAATTAGAGGGTTTTTTATATCTTTCTAAAAAGATTTCACGTATTTTGTTGACGCAGTATAATAATTTCGAATCATATAAATCAACTTTCAACTTAATGGAAGGCTTGGTATTGGAGTTCACGGTGGACAGGGATCAGCACTATCGTTTCATCCACGATTCGCGAGAGCTGTCCTCTGCGATCCAGCGGCAGTTGTTCGACGACGACGCCGTATTTAATGGCCTCCTGGGGCAACTCCACAAGACGGGTGAGCAGTGATTTTTGAGTGGTTCCTCTTTGGAAGTACCTTCAACCATGTTCCTCCGAAGAGTAGCCGCCTATGTGAGCAACATGAACCTGGACATGCCGCTGAACTTTGACATCTTTCTGCCCATCCGCCTGCCGATGGTCGTGGTGCCCAGCTACGATGAGAAGAGACGCAGTGTGGAGTTCTCCAGGCCCAATGCCCAGCACCCGTTCTTCTTCGGGAATGCGGTGAATGCCAAAAGCATGAACCTGCTGCTCAAGCAGGAGCTGCAAAGGGCCATAGCCAAGCTCGGTTGTGTGGGCTCCTGCTCCGGACTGGTCTACGATCTCAAGTACTCGGTGTGGAGCCTCGACCGGGTGCCCTTTGTCCACAAAATCGTGGCCATGGAGCGCGGCAGCAACGGGCGCCGCTTGATTCGCTTCGATTTCGTCCTGGCCCTGGAATTCCAGGGGGCAGAGATGATTCTGCCCCCTTATTTCAAGGCACCCGTCGCTCACCGCTGGCTTGCCTATGGCCTGATGGCCCAGGATGGCGATGCCCATCCGGCGGACTGGGCCATACTGGTGCCCAAGTGGCAGGACTCGAACCCGGGCGCCTGCATGATTGCCCTGAACTGCCTAATCATGCTGTTCCGTCTGCTGAGCGCCCAGCAGTGCTTCTGCTTCGCCCAGCCCGCCTCCTTAAAGTTCGCCTTCGTCTTGGCCACCGAGGAGCGCTGCAACGACTTCAAGCGCTTGACAGTCGCCGAATTGGTTTTTGAGGTATGTGTTGGGCTGCATATAATTTCCTATAAATGTTGTACACTAAAATTAGATAGACCTATCCGTGAACCCCAGAATGACAAAACACTTGCCTTTTAAGTATCTAGTTTCTTTTGATTTGATTATTGAAAAAAATATTTTTTTTAAAGTGTAATTACGTTTTTCAACTGTTTCTCTCCCCCTTACTTAGATCCTCTACAAACAGGTGTTCTGCAACTTCAACGAGGCGGTGTACAAGCGCGTCAAGGGCGACAAGGCCACCAGGAGCAGTCGGCTGATGGCCATCCGGAAGCAGCAGTTGCGGGCCCGGGGCGTATACGCAATGCTGGAGGATGCCGTGATCCGTAACTCGATCACCAGCGATCTTGTTAACGCCTTTTTCTGCTACATCAACGTCTTGCCGACGCCGGATCGCATCTACCACTCGCTGGTCGAGGTCCGCAGTACCGATTGTCCTTTAAAGAGGAAGAGGAGCAGCACTTAAGGTCCTAATCCTGCCAAGTTAAATTGACCAAAACGATGGGGGACCACATGGGGGGGTTGAGTTGGTGTGCTACCACTTTTGGATAGGTGGCAAACAACCCCAAGGGACTGGCTTCCCTTGTTGATTTTTGAAATTCGAGCACTACTCTAAATTGGTCGAGCAGTTGGTGGGTATCCCCCAGCACCATGCCATCGTCTTAGTGTCAAATCTCGGTAATTGTGCAACTTTAATGCCAAAAAATAAGTGGAAATGTCGGAGAAGAGCTTACACAGATACAAAACACACACAAGCGGTACACGGGAAAACACCGACAGAGACAAAAGTTAATAAAAGCCAACTAAAAACTAAAGCCGAGTTGGGCTACGTGTCCCTGTTTTGACTTGCCCCCAAACACCCCCGACCCCCTTGTTTATGGTGGGGGGGGTTGGGGTGGGAGAAAAAGTTAAATTGCAAATAGCTTGGGCTGGGCTTAGCCCGGGGGCGTGGCAGTGGAGAGGAGGCGGTGTGCGGTGATGGGAGGGCAACATGAAATTTTAGAAAAATTTGCTGTTATTGTTCGGGCAAAACAAAAGGGGTAAAAGGCTTTCGCAGAGCTGGCAAAAAGGATGGGTTCGGAAAAATAGGTGGGTCTACGGGGTGGAGTCGCATTAAACAGAAAGACACAAAAAAGTTTACCCTAGACTCGGTGAGTGGTGGGGGGGAAGGAATGTAGAATAAAGTTTTGCAACGCTTTTGACATTTCATTGTTGTCAACTTTTAACTAGTTTTTTATGTAGTCGTTATTTTAAAATGCAAATCGCCTACAAACTGGCAGCAAAAAACACACTTTGCTCGTCTTTCTCCAGAATTGTTTCGATTTAATCTGCCCCAAATCAAATGCCTTTAATTGCGTTTGCGAACTGGTGCTGTGAATTTGTCATATGCCCGGTAAGAGTGGAAAACAGATTTGCCGCATCCATCGACGAGTTAATCTGGTTAATTCCCCGCCTGTACTTCTGTACGATTGGCAATCGAAAAGTGTTTATTGCATTTTCCACTTTTCGTTATTTTAATTGCATTCCCAGCTCTCCTTTTGCCTTTAAAGTTGTTGTGTATTAAATGCCAATAAATAAACTGAAAGTGCAGCTTGCTGCTGGATGAGAAAATTATTTGCTGGCTTGGCAAAAAGAGAAAATAATCAAGATATTTCATCATCTAGGAAAGCATCGTAGGGCATCATAAAAAAACATTGAAAAGGGAGGAGTTTCGCTTGAGGACTTCCCCTGCATCAATCACTTAATTTTGTTAGAAAAATACATTTTCCCAAACTTGAATTAAATTGAAATTTAAATTCAAGAGCTTTTATCAACATTTTTCTCTTTGCTGAGCTTCATAATTTTCCCCCACAAAGTAGTGCACAAAAGAATGGCGCTATCTTCTGGTCTGTGATAAAATGCGGGGTGGCATCTTTAATCAAAAAATAATTATGAGCGACAGGAGGGGGAAGGCAAGTGTGTGTGTGTTTGTGTGTGAGTGGGTGTCCGGGAAATTACATTTGAATTATGACTAAAATGGCAACGGAACACCAAGCCAAAAGTGATGTGCAGCAAATGAGCTAAGCGACGGCGAAGTGAAATTCGTTTGGGGGCGGTGGGCGAAATACGGGGGAGTGGCCATTACAAACAGAACAGCCGCAATTTACGCAACAAACAGAGCGCTGAAAATTGGACAGACGCGACGAGGACAACTGCAGGACCTCAAGCTGGAGAAGAAGGGCCTGAAACTGGGTGCCAAGTGGGAACTGGAGACCGGCAAAAGTTTATATGAAAAACAGACAATTAATTTGTTTTCCAGCGCAAAAGGGACACCAGGACTCTGGACTTGAGGACACAGGACACCCGCGGAGGGACAAACAATTTCGTGCTTGTTGGCAAAGAAAATTTACGTGCCGAAGACAATTGGGAGCAGAGGATTCTAATTCGGAGATGGGGACGAGCGGCAGGACACGGTGGAAATGGTCAAACATTTAACGCTTTTTGTTTAATTAAAATTGCAACAGGCTACACAACTAAGTCCTTAAAGCAGCAACAGGAGAATAGGAAGTCAGAAGCCTGATAATGACACTGAAAGAAAATTTTATTAAGTTTTCATTCAAAAATATCAAAAATTAAGCTTTTATAAGGGCTTTAACACTTTAACCAGGAAAACGTAACAACTATTATTTTTGTTACTAAAACTAAAAATAAAATAGTAATTTAAACAGCTCTTAAATTTTAAAATAAGAGCTTTGCATGTGTTTTACTATCCCTATATATTTTCTTTCCAGCTTAGGAACTCTTATTTGCAATCGCTGAATAAAACAGCACAGATGTGCATAAAATATTCACAGATTTTCTAATTTCTAATTAATTTATAATATAAACTGATATACATAACATATTTTGCAGTTAATTCATATTTGTATTTTTAAATTTAAAAAAATAGCAGCTTTGTCGTGATTAAAATAGTGTTCTGTGCAGCAAAGTCAGCGTTTTTCAATTAAGCTTGCATTTCGTTTAATATGGGGAAAAAAATAGAACATTAGTTAGCTGCCCTTTACCCTTTGCCGGATATTCTCTGTTTGTGTTTGTCCAGTTATCCCCTATTTGCTTTTCCCGCTGCCAAAGGAAAAGGGCACTCCCTGCTGGCTTTTGTTTTTCCTGCGCAAAAGAAAACCTTTTACAGCGGTTATTAAATTGCGCTTTAAGTGCTAAACTCGAGGCAAACTATTTGCCATATCCCCGGTTGTTACCTTTCCCCAGATCCAGATCCAGATCCTCTTCGAAATGCGCGTACGTGTTGGCATATCAATTCACGTTACGGACCGAATAACTGCATGCATTCATTTGCGCCAAGGCATCCTGCTTATATCAAGCAGGATTCCACTGGGGAGAGGATGTGTTGCCATGCCCCCAAGGGTGGACAGGATGTCGGGGACTCGCTTCCATTGGCACTGTCATAGCCCGGTGTACAGTGTATCACGTTTCAGTCATTTGGTGGCTGCCACTTCATAATTCAATAAAACAATAAAAATAAAACCCTTACAAATTACGGCAATCAAATCATACGAGTCGCATGTGCACCAGTGATGACGACCCATACCTCGCACTCAATAAGATATTTTTGAAAAAGGAAGATATCTCAGAATATTAAAATACATACTACAAATTGAAACTTTTTAACAAGAGATGATTTATTTTAATTTTGTTTGCTTTTTTTAATCAAAATTGTATTTTGATAAAAATAAATATTCATTAACTCTTTTTACTTGGTTGCGTTAAGAGATAAATTTGTCTTTAATTAATAAATGTTATTTAAAGGATGATAGTGGATCATACTTTTATTTTCTTGGTATTGCTCTGAAAAACATCTCTTTTACGAATTATTGTACATTTTGTAATAGTAATTGACTTTTTAATAAAAATACATCTGAAATTATTTATAATTCAATATCATCCGATCTCAGGCCCAAAAACAACCTTAATATCCTGCAAAAATTGCTGAGGCAGCACCACTCACTTAGAGTGAACGCGTCCCTAGCATATTTCCATAATTTGGTCACAATTTGCTATGCGCAGCATCAGCGCAAACAAAAGCCCTGAATCCAGAAAAGGACGATACTCATACACACTGAGCCCTGGCCGCGAGAAGGCAGCCGTGAAAGGATGGGAGGAGACGGACAAAATTATGACTCCAGGGATAATCGTACTAAAGCGAGTGGTACCCACTTCGCCGGAGAATACGTGAGGACACCACACGAAACGTGGCCAACTAGTTTCTATTTCTCTATGCAATGCTTTATTCATGCTGAAGCCGCTATCCGTCTCAAAAGCTTCGGTGCGTGGATAAAATGTGAGTTTGACATATATATTAGCATAAGCTCTGTGCAATCGTAGATGCACATTTCTAGCCAAGAACTGGGCATTTACGATAGCGTCTCCGTTTGACGCCTACATCCTGTACAGGGCATGGACATTGGGTCCGTGCTGCACCATGGCATCCTTGTGCACTTGGTAATGGATTTCCAGCTCGCCCAGATGCAGCAGCTCCTTCATTTGCCTGCCAATGGACAGGATCGCCTGGACATTGCGCGAATTCTTTGTCCAAAGGGCTATAAATAAAAAGGATATTTGACAATGCCCAATAAAATGGAGGTGATGTACTTACACAACTTATTAGCCTTGTGGCGCACGTTGACAACCACGCCACATATCTCATTCGAATACTGAAAACACTCGCCAATCATGCACAAAATCTATACGGAAATAAATATAATATATCCAATTTATTTTTATGGCATTAGTTGAGTGTCTTACCAAATCGTGCCACATTTTATCTATAAATTTACCGGAGGCCTTGTCGAACAGCATGATCCAACGGCCACCCTCCTTATTGACATCATCTTCCCACATGGGGCTAAAGGAGAATAATCTAATAATCTTAAATGCCTAACTGCCTAGCAAACTTACCGGACGCCTGCCTTGAAGACCATATAGTCGTTGAATATCTTCAGATCCGATGGTGGCTTGATAAAGTAGTACACACTATCAAAGTTAATTAGTATAAGGTATAGGGATTGGTGGAATGATAGATGAACAAATGGCCGACCTGAAGAAGTCCTCGACAGTGTTGAAGCTGGTCACATCGCTGAGCATCTCCGTCCAGCATTTGGTGCGATCGTTCTCCCAGTGCCACAGTGTCCAAGTGTGCTGAATGGGATGCTTCATTGCCAGTTCGTAGTCGATGAGGCTCATCATCCGGTTCTTGGAGAGCTTCAGGTCCTGCTCGTCGCCGCTAAACATGTCGACTCCATCATAAACTGCAAGTCCGTGCTCCCAGTCGCTGGGTTCTCCATATTGCACCCATTCTGATTAAGGGCAATTACAATTTATACATTCAAAGGAATATTTCGGAAATCATCTTAATCATCGCTTACCAGTTTCCTCAACGTTCTGCATCCCGTTACTTTCGAAACCGGTGTAAACCATAGTTTTCCAATTATTTAATTCAATAAGGATTGTTTTTATGTTATTTTCTAACGTTATATTATATTTAAAAATAGTCGAATAGTATATTGTCTCGTTCTAAGTATAAGCGTAAATGAAAATTAAGATATTTTAGCTTGCACTTTGACAAATCTAAATGTGACATTAATAGCGTTGCCACCTGGGCTTTAAAAAAGTGTTGAAAAGCCCTTAAATGTATAAGTTACGAGTTAAGAGTGACCATCTTTGCACAAACCACTTAAAAATTACCTATTAAATTCGGTTGAAAAGTTTTTAAGAGAGTTGCTGAGTAGTTTAAAATTATATAGTTCCTATACTCAGGAACAAATCTTTAGATATTAGTTATTTACCTAAATATCTACTTTATTTATAAAAAAAATGTAGTGTATATAATTTAATTAAATATCGAGTGATGTAAATCCTGGAAAATTAATCCAGAAATATTGAAACCCGATTTAACATCGCCATTCATTTCCCCCAAATGTTGCAAATCCAATTCGCACACTTCGTTTTCAAAATCAAATTGAGTCGGTTAAGTACGGACCCGAGGGTCTATCAATTGAAATGTCACGCTAATAAAATAAAATGACACCGAGCATACGATAAATGCACGAAAATAATAAAATGTGACTCAAATGAGCGACGGCGACAGCAGCCACAGACACAAGTTGGCAGCCGGAAAGGATCCGATTGGGAGAATGGTGAATGGGGACTGGCAAAGGGGAATCCCCCTGTCTTGTCTGCTGGGGCTGTTACTGCTCCTTGTGCAACAGTTTGGACTGCAGTCAATAATCGAAATCGACTTGGGCTTGTGGCAATAAAAATTTGTCTTCGCCGCTTAAGTTGTGCGCCTTGTTGCACACAAGGTCCTGGTCCTGTGGAAACACACTCCTTTCCCCCACATTTCCCCACTCCTTGTGGTGGTGCAGATAATAAAATATGTGAGTCGCTACGTGGTAGCTCCTTTGGCGTTGGCAAAGTAGCTTTGGGCCCTTGTAATGTGCACCATTTGTTGCGCGGCTGGTGGTTCGGTGGCTCCCGAGGAGATGCACCTCCTCGCCATCTCCTGCTGCTCTGGTGAGTTATGTTTGTCGGCCAAGTTTTGGAACAAAAGTGTTGGCACTGTTCCCGGTTTTAAGTCCTCGCCGGCGAGTGAGTTGCCAGCCCCAATTTACTTTAAAATTCTATTTGTTTTTGTTCTTAAGCAGCTTTGGCTGCTGGTCCAACTGGAGAAATCGTATATTTGTGCTAGCAAAACTAACAAAAAAAATATATTCCCTTAATTGGAAGAATAAATTAAGGCTAGGGAATTAATAGTAATGGTAAAAAGCTAACAAGAGCTTACGTTTCCTTGAGAGACTTCAAAATTCTTAACAAAACTAAATTTATTTTAGTTAAAATAAAAACACTAAATAAATTACTATTTTGGGCAAATTTTAGTCCTTAATAAATGAATTTTGGCAAAAATTTGAATTTTATGTATTTAAACTGGAAGAGTTACAAATCAGTATTTTCTTATTTTGTTTTTCTGTCTTCAGGACTTTTACCAAATTATATTTGAGTTGTAAGCATTAAACTTCCTTTATTGGTTGTCATAACCATAATTTCAAAAATACTTGCTCCAAATGGAATTTCTAGCCCCAGTGAAGCCCACGAATTCCGGAGAAGTAAAACTTTAATTTTAACTCTTTTTGGTTTCTCCCCATTTAAGTCCCCGGCAAACGCTTAGCTATGCTTTGTTAGATTTGACTTTGTGCTGTGCTGCTCAGGTGGCACTTTGGCGTATACGCAATATTTTACAGCTTTTTGCACTTTGCTGGCTGAGCTGAAAATACATGGTCAGTAAATCTTTTAAAATATTGTAATGTTGAGTGGGTGAAGAGGGGACCGAGGCGAGGGAATAGCTCACTACCGGTTTAAGCGCTTTGAGTGCCGTGGAGCAGTAAAAGAACGCCCACAAACTGCCAAGAAAGCCGAAGGGGAAAAGTCCGTAAATGGAGCATTCCACAAGGAGGAGCTGAGAAACCGAGGAGCCAGGACCTCATCTTGCAGACAAGCGCATGCAAGAAATGAAAATGATTTGAGGCATTATGTTCGCTCCGGTTTTACTCCGCTTTTCTGCCCGCCATTTCTGGTTTCGCTTCCGTTGAGCTGTCTGTTCTTTTTTTTTGGCTACAAAATTGCTTTGCTCCTCCCTCGTGTTGATTGTAAAAGATTTCAGTGTTGAGAGCACAAAGCATGCGATGATGTACAGGACGACGCACGTCGTACATTTTGCACCTTGAAGTGGCAGGCGGCGGAGGAAGAGGAACCTCCTCCACTCCGGCAAAAGACAGCCACATAAAACAATAAAAAGCAATGGTAAATGCTGAGGATGGGTAGCGACAACACATCCTGCAGCACCTTGAGGCCAACGCGAGTGACAGCAGCTTCCGGCAGCCCCCAGTGCCACGCCCCCAGTTGTCGTTTGGCCCGAGCGACTCCGCTTTCACCTGGACAAAGAGATTCAGGTGTAGGAGGCTAAGTTATGGACACAGTGCAGGGTAAACTTATAAAAATTCTATACCTATTTGTCGTAAAATTACTCAATTACACAGTTGCTATACCAGTTATTATACATCATAATTAATATATCATAATGCAATATAACGAAAATTATTTGCTTTACTATTAAGTAATAGCATGCTCTGATTTTTTGTTGTAGAAAACATATATATATATTAAGAAATCAATCTGTGCGGCGTATATGCAAAGAACGTTTTATTCCAAAACCCAACGTAAATAACATAGGTAAAAAAAATCCTCCAAGTCTCGTTTGGTTATCATTTTAAACTATTGTAATTGATAACAAAATGAATGTGTTATTACAACACCAAGTTAGGATTCGTAACTAAACAAACGAAGGCTTAATCTATTAACAAACTTAAAAGGATCAAATTTGTTTATTTATTTTAAAGGCAATGAAAACAATTTATTGTTAAATAATTTGTATTATTTGCTGTGAATGGAATCACTTTTATGCTATGATTAAAGCTATCCAGTTGAGAGCATGCCATTTATTATCGAAAACTAAGAAGATTACGTTGAATTTAAATATATCCAATTAACCTGATATACATTGTACCCGATTATTACACTGCCTTACAAATTTAAATCGACAAAATGGACTCCAGTGAAGAAGAAAAATAAAATAAGCATAAAATAGGTGAATAACTTGAAATGAACTTTAAAAAAATAGTACCATTCAACATCTTTTGATAGTCACTGCACTGGAAAACCAAACTTTTATCTTAAGAGGATTTTGTCGATTAAAATTTGTAAACCAGTGTTTTTTAACCACTATTCATTGTTCACTAAATCAAGATGATGAATTATTAATTACGGGTGCAGTGCATGCCCATAAATTAAATTAATGGGCGAACTTCATGCTGCTATTATTTTGACCCCGTCTGTGCATGTCTATGGTGCTAAATACTTTGGACCAAGACGCCTCTGGGCGCTGGCCAAACCCCAACTTGGATAGCTTCTGTAGCTTTGAAGCCGGAGCTTGGGGCCAGGTGAAAGTCATTTCACGCTGTGTGTAGCGCACAAGATTAAAATAATAGCAGCGCGTAAATTAAACAGCCCGTTGGAGCCGAAGAGTAGGTGCCAGATGGGGATCCTTGGGTGTCGGAAAGGGATATGGAGACGGAGACGGAGAGCCATTGAAGTGGCAGCCATCGAGCAGCAGGATCTGCCGCATTCACATCGAATCCCTTTGTTTAGGGCTGCGGTCTGCGCCAAGACGCTTACCTGGCACACCTCCCTTTCCCTTCCCTCACCTCTCTTTACCAAAATCCAGCACACCTCACCTGTCCTTCAGGACATTGCCAGCATTGCGTTGTCAGCACTTCATTTTGATCCAACATGCCGCGTGCTTCACTTAATGCGGCGACTGCCAGCAGCCCGCATTTCTGAGGAGTATGGAATGCCATTCGGGGGCTGGCAACAGAAGGGTGGGCAGAAAGCTCGCTTCTTCATCATGCACATAACTACAAAGGCGGCTGCATTTCTTTGGCGACCAGGCGACAAACATTTGATAAAGCAAAATAACTTCATAATGTTTAAAAACGTATGTCAAAAAGTCAAATAATTTATAGTGGAGTGAACATAAACAACAACAAGTGTTAATAAAGAATGTAACCCCTATACTTTTTAGTTTCACAACTATACAAAAGAGAACTAGGTGTTGTTAATAATATACTCAGCAGTTTAAAATTCATGTTACAATAGTTTAGTTTCTATTACAATTTTTTGTGAGTATACCAAAATACCATTTTAAAAATCATAAATCGAAGTGTGTTGTAATTAAATCAGAAATATAAACTTTAATTTTTATACTATTCAAGATTTTCTTAATATTTAGTAATAAGGATTTTTAATTATTTTGTTGTTGATATTTTTAGCAAATAAATAACCACCCTTTGTCGCCTGTCAGCTGCTGTGCATTACACGTCACGAATGCGTGCGTATTGTGCGCTCTGCAACTACGTACTGCAATGCGAAAGGATGGGTCTGGTGATGCACTGATGTCCTGGGAAGGATGGGAGTGCTGAGGATGCAGTGACGCAGTGATGGTTCGTTGGGCTGCTACCTTCGCTGAGTGTTTTGTGGCTTGTCTTTCCGCCTGTCCGTCTGTCCCCCTCGCACCAGCCCTTCGCTGTTCCTTGCTCCTTTTCGAGATCCTTTGCAGCCGAAGCTTGCTTAATGCTTTATGTTTGCCAGCTTTCAGCTCTTTGTTCGTGTTCGTGTCCTCACTGCGCTACGTCCTGTTTTTGTTATTACGGCAAGGTACTTTGCTTTTGTTCGATGAAACGTAAAAATAGCAACAAGCAACGAAAACTCATTTTTAGACAATGCCGCATAATTCCAACGCAATGAAGGTAAAGGAAGCAAAACAGGAGAAAAAAGGTAGCAGTATAAGATCCAAACGACTTTTTGTTGTAATGAGGTATTTCCGCTTTGTTGTTGCTGCTCATCTTCGCTTTATTCCCGTCTTTTTTGCCTTTAAACTGTAAACAATTTCGATACAAATTGTTGGTCGATTTTTCAGATTATATAAACCTTTT